TCCTCACTTTGAACAGGTCAACAAGGGCATGAACTCTTGAGATCATCATATTCACCTGATATCAGTTACCTCTTCATGAGCACGTGTTACCTAACATTCTAGTAATATTTCTGAATGAGTGTCAATATTAATACACGTTAAAGAGAAATGTAATATTACCACATCTATGCATAGCACGAGTCCTTCTTGCTGATTTTTCATTTCATTGAAATGATAAAGCAAAACAGTAGTAATAGGCTTAACTCCTCTCCATGCGTTATTTTTAAGGCATCACAACCATAACTCAAAATTCAGTGCCATCAACGATATTGTTAGTTGGATTATTTGAAAACACCTAAAATAAGTAATATTCTATAACCTAGATGCTACGCTAGTAATGATAATCTCTACGCATATCATTCCAAAATGTTTCAGTTAAATATTTGAAATCAGTATTTTTACTATAGCAACCCGTTTCTCGCATGTAACCGATTTAACCAGCTTCTACAAGTTTACTTGTTAAAACTTCTTCACATGTCATTAAGATTATGTAATCTATCAACAAGTTACCGTATAATTTGAGCGGTTAAGAGAAAGGAAATGTGAATAGATTGCGTGATTGAAATATGTAATGTGTAACAATACTGATATTATTATTATTATGATTGCTCCTATTGTTATCATTGTAAGATATTATTGATATTGTTCATCTAGTTCATCGATCCCGATCAAACAAAAATCTCAACAGATGACCGAAACTGTCAAATACACATACAAACCGATGATACAACAGTATGGCCAAGGAAGAACAGACAAAAAGTCTTGTCGAGAATGTTTCTAATCAGTCTTTGAAGTGGACCGCAATGAAAACATCAAAAATATGGTCAGTACTCTTACAGAGAGACTATATTGTGTATGTATGAATGTTTTGTTTGTACGAGCATATGAATGAGCATCATGATGCATCGTTCTCATCAAATACAGAGAAATTACGTCACAATAATGTGATCCATCCTATGCATTCATCTCAAGAGTGACATGACATTGGTTGGTATTGTATGCAATTGAGGTTATATTTGCGAATGCGGTAATCATAATAATCATAGTAATACTAAGAATAATAGTGATCAGATTGACTAGGAAGGATGTATTATGTTCGATGCGATTGATTTAATCGTTGTCTATCACTGACAAAATATCTGCAGATAATAACACGTCTTTGACGGCTGCTACCTTGCAGATGATGAGTAAAATATAAACACATCTTTCACATGATGCATTCGAACAGATGATTGAGAGGCAACAAGGTCATTCGAAAAAAATGAGCAAAATGGGTAGCTGCACGAAGCAGAAGAAAGATGGATAACTGCATGAACCCTAGTGACATCTTTGCCATGAAACGATAGTATCATGAGGAATAAGATCGTTTACAGTTGAGAGGAAACAATCCGAAGAGATCGCAATTAAGAAAATCACTGGAGTTGAATCGTTTAGTTAAAAGAAGAAAATTCAGCGATACTGAACATGGTGAAGTATCGAAATATTTGAACAAACCTTGAAAATGCGCTTTCAGTTGAAGATAACTAACAGCTAGTCGTAGAACACTTAATTTGTCCAATCTGAAAAGGTAACAATTGCTCTGACAATGAGTTAATTTTCAAACCGATGAAGCTAAAAAAGGAAGCAATGCTTTTGACTTTGGATTTGTCAATTTGCATGGGTTTCTTTGCATGGTTGCTTTTTAAAGCGAATTCAAACGATATTAGTAATTACTGAATGATGAATTTGTAAGGAAATGGATAGCAGACAAATTATTCATTCCATAATGCATCTCAAATATTTCGATTTAAACCATTCTGCTGAAGAAGAAGCTTAAGAAATGATTGATTGCTTCATTCAAAGTGAATCACTATGATTAAGTTGAGGCATCACGACAGTATTAAATCAGATGTTCCCGAGCTAAAAAAGCTTTCAGGCTGAAGCATGCTGATGCTCTCGAATGATATTGCATGGATTAGTCCATGAAGATGACTGTATTAACCTTGATATGACACTTTGATCGTACGGCAGAAGAGCTGCGACAGTTTCCAATTCGCCGTTTAGTCGTTCCCGGTGTCGTTTACTTGGATTTGTGGGCGCAGTTGACTTTGGAGGCTCACGGACTCTGAATTATTTTGCAAATTTCTATCAAAAAGATTGAAAATGACCATATTTCATGTCGAACAAACCACAATCTCAGCCATACGTATGTGTATTTATAAACACCTTTGGGAACATTTATCATTATTACGACTGTTATCAATATTGTAGCCATTAGCATAATTGTTATCAAAATGTTATTGACATCCGATGCATTCTGATTATTCCAAACATTCTTCATACTGTACACAACAAATGATTTTCAACCCACGAAGCGATAAAAATTCCAGTCTTGAAAGCACTTCGACTGTTGTATTGAGAGGAAAGCATAATTTGTATATTATTACTGTTTTACGAGGTATTTTATGAGTGCGATGAATACAATATTATTCATGATTAATAGACTAATTAAGATGATAAATGCAGACACACACACACAAAGACAGGTGTTTTGTTACATAATGAACGATTATTATATAGTGTTGGATCATAATAAGTCATAAAATGTAATCAATAGTTCTCATTTGAATGGCCATGCTCTTATAGCATAGATCAATCAATGGTCATGCATGAGACTTCGAAGTTTCAAATTCAGAAGAAATACTCAGAAAGCACTGATCTTAAATGCTCAACCATAAGTGTGACGAATCTGAACTTCTCTCTGATTAAGGTGCTCCAGTTTCAGTGGAAATGACCTGTTTGCAATGAAACGATAGAAATCGAGTTCACTTGCCCAAGTTACAGTTAAAATCAACTGCTTCTTGAATCTTATCACACTGCTCCTTTTTCTTGGATGTTGACTTAGAACTTTTTCGTTTCGAATTTCTCAAATATCTCCGTCCAAAAACAGTCTTTGTGAAAACTATTCTTATTGACCATGATTTTACATTGTTGAAGCTTTTCACTGACTAATTTTCGTCGACTACTTGCTAGTTTCTACCTCTAATTTAGTAGAACACTAGATGGATACATCAAGAATTCTTAATGAATATTGCAGATGTTATATGTTGCTAGAAGCAAAAGAATTTATGACCAGCAATCGATCTTCACGCACACGTTTTTAATGTCGTTATCTGTTCACTATGATGCTACATTTCCGGTACAAAGCAGATGCTGCTATTTATGTGCAGAACACAATAAAACCTAATAAATGATCACATAATAACATAAATGCAACAATGCTCACAAAACATCGCATTAATTTTTCACTAGCTTCTTGCTTACTAGTTGTTTCATGCTTATTATATTATCGTTCATGATTGCTAGTTGAATGTTCAACGCTGTCAAATCCTCTAAGGTATGCAGCATGAATGAGTATCTGATATCATCTATCTTCACTTATCCCTATCCGATTCTTGCGCATTCCATATATCGTTCACGTAAACCCTTCGATAAACTGAAATATATTCATTCAGTTGTTGAAATATATACTAGCTTGTTAGATCCCTCATTTCTATTAATCGTAAGACAATGAATGAAATGCTCCGATAACATATATAGACTCATCGCTCTTGATAGACTCATCTTCGATTATCGATATCCACTCTTAATCTCTCACATTGTGGTGATCCATTCATATTTCTCAACTAAAGCACTATGTTCCCTGCACTCTTCTAAAACCCTCTAGCCGTTTCGCAATATTTTCTCTTTTCAATTCACATAGTCTTTGTAAGAATGCATAAATCTTACTACAGAGCAATCGATTGCTCACATGCTATTTCAATTTTCTCATAGTGTCTGCAGTGAATGGTGCATGCACTCTCACTTAAAAAGCCAGTGAAGCGAACAGAGAGGTGCTGCTGTCAGGATTACGGTAGATGATGTTGTTCAACAGCTGCGCAACGCCAATGATGACTGTCATGTTTATTGGTTAAAGATAAATCTTCGAATCAAGACTATTAATTAATAATTGATGAACATTCGATCAGCAGTCAAATGTTCATCAATTATTTATTCATTTGTCTTATTCCATCTCAAATTTGTTGATTTTAAAACGAGTAATACTGCAAGTTCTCCTCAAGAAATGTGCCGTATGGCTTCTCAAGGTTGGCCCTAGCTTGATGAGTTAGATGAACTTGGAGGAAATTTTAACGTGTTCAAGCTCGTCAAGGAACAGAATTTCCTGTTACAATCAAACTACATCGAGGGTCCCAAAATTGGAAGGCAAAAACTTAACGATCAATCAAGCACTAAAAGCGATTCAACTAGTTGAGATAAGAGACGTGGAAAAATGAACGATAATCAACTGAATCATAAAAGATATTTCTCACATTTACACTCAAATGTTGCTGTACGCATAGTGTTATAGTGGCAATTCCATTCCTTCTATTAGTTCACGTGCAACTGATTTCATCCAAATGCTCGATGAGAAAGTCAAACAATTGCGAGCTGTCCTACAGATTAGCAAGACTTGAACAAGAACATTTCCAGCCCTATCAAGTATTCGTAATAATGTAGCCCTGAGTGATCAATTGAAGTGATCAACTGAGTGATCAGTTTGCTGAGTGATCAAGTGAACTTCCCTAAAAACTAAGATTAATCCTTGTACGACTGAAAGATGTGTGTGTCGTTTATTCTAGTTACTCTAAACATGCACACGAAAGGCATTTCGATCGGATTCAAAGTCAATCCGAACCGGCTAATTCGACTATGAGACTCAACCGTATTGCTGTCATCTTCTCGAGATGCTAATCTCGAAGCAATCCCAGTAATCGCCTCTATCGATAGGTGTAATTAATTGACGGAACAGAGTAATTAAGAAGTGCATTGACTGTAATAAACGTTTAGTGTGCATAAATAAGCACAGAAGTGAATAACACAATCACATCTCACACCCACTCGAAAATGCACTGTAATTATGACACTGACAAGTGTTCTTCAACAACAATGCCATGGATATGTTTCCATATGTGTATAACATTACAATTGAAAGCTTCTTATGACTGCAATGAATACTTCTTATAAAACAAATACTCAAATACTAATAGCACTAGTAATACGGGTGATGAAAATAATGAAACAAGGACACTAGCACATCTCTCGTACAATTTATATTTTTCACGCTCTCCAAGCATATGCTGATTTAATGACACTCATAATTAGTGATCATCATCAATGCAGTGTAAGTAATCTAAACATTTAACATCGTAAACAAATTCGTGCCCATATAAAATCTGAAGAGACTGCATAGCACAGACCATTAAAACGATGCCAACTTCGTTTAGAGCTCCGAAAAATTCATTAAGAAGAAATATGATAATGATCAGTTTATGACTACGTATAATTGTTAAATGACTGAATAGAGGAACTCAAACAGCACTAAAGACTAGTCCTGAATGAAACACCTGAGATCAGATTTTGCAAGCTTGTTGCATTACGATAGAATGGGGTGATGGCAATAAAATGACAATAAGTTTGCTGAATTTGGAATGCTGCATTGATGAAATTTGTGGACTTATGATGACGATCCATTAGCCCAAGCACATACACGAACGAACGGTAGCATAAACGAATGAAGAAATAACTTGTGGAATATGAAACGAGAACGAATGAGTACTCGAAACATTACATGATGATAGTGATAAGTGCTCATATTTAGGATTAGTTCAGTAATTCATAGCAAGTCAGTAGCTGCTGTAGCAGATGTGTACGAACTGCGGTCAAAGTGGATGGATGTAAGTCGTCGTCGTATTTATTTATTTGCGTGCTTCGATGAGGTGGTATCCATCGATGCAGACAGCTATCTATCTATCTATCTATCAATCGAAACAACATTTGTCAGGCAATGTTTCGTGTTCCTTAAAAATTGTTGTCATGTCATGCTCGTGCTCATACTAAAATTGGTGGTCCTACTAGTGGGAGTATGGCCCAATCAACCGTCATCAATGAATAAACCCTCAAGCACGCCATATCAAACCCAAAACATACTCAACGATGATCATTTTACAAGCAAACGTTCTATCGCATACCCACATCCTGTTCCATATTCCATGCACTTCACTCCTATTCTCGTTAACAGTTCAGTCATCCACTACCCTTCTCATATTCGTTATGATATCATTATCATCATTACTATCATCGCCATTTCAGTTATCACTGTTATCAATTTTGCTGTCACCATATCAAAGTATCAAGCACAATGATATCATTCATTTGTATTTCATTAATCCAGCTCATTACATCATTAGATATTAATTCATTCGGTAATGTTTTGTCACTTACAACAGCCTAATTGCTCAAATGAAACACTTGAAGTGTACTGCATTGTCGAAATTGAATGAAATTCATTTGCGGTTTTAATGGATCTGTCGTGTTGCGTTGCTCAATCACGTTAAAATCAGATACAAGCTATCTAAAGTTATGACCCTGTGATCCTCAGAATTTTCTGCGAACGTCTTCATCCTATTGCATCGATAACCTTTCGTAGCTATTCTCAATTCACTTCCTTCAATACTCTAAGAAAGGTGAGCTACACGGCTGTTATGGACTCAACAGATTTAATTCAATGTCTTGCATCTACTAACAAAAAGCAAAATTCATAGCGCATAACTCAGGTTTTTCAATCAAACCAACAGCAAATTCTTTTTTGACCTGAACCGTACAGATTCGCTAAGCGTTATGCGATTAAACGTCAAGTCTAATGTGATCAGAACAGAAGCCAATACTGGATAAAAATGTGATTAGTTCTGGATGAATTTTTAAATGCTAACACATTTG